CAATGCCATGGACACACTCACGCCTCCAGTGGCGCTCCGAGCGCCAAACAAACTCACAGGGTCATTTTCAAATGTCATGGGCCCATGCTTGGATCTCCTGTTCCCCCCAGACCAGCAAGCGGCAACAATAAGCATTACAAGAACCCAAACGCCCCCACTACCACCACTACCACCACCATCATCATGATCCTGAACATCGTCATCGTCATCATCATCATCATCATCATCATCATCATCATCATCGTCATCGTCATCATAATCATCAACATATTCATCTTCATCTTCATCTTCATCTTCATCTTCATGAACGCCATCAACACCATCATCGCCATAATCATCAACGCCATCAACACCATCAGCGCCATAATCATCAGCATCATCACCATCATCATCACCACCACGATCATGTTCATTGTGAGTGAAGGACCTCGAAGTGGTTCCTAACAAGGCTTACGGCATGACAGGCACTACTCCAAGGCTAAAAAGCAATTGTGCCCCAAGCTAACCGAGCCTTATCCAACCATACGACACAAGAATGGAAGCTGCGGTGGCAAGGGTGCCTGTCTAGACCGTCTTGAAAGGAGAAATGCACCTGCAAAGCTTGCTAAGTTCGCTTCAACAATGTCATAACAAATGTACCTGCAATAAACCACACAAAGGTAGAGAACTCTCTACAAATTTCTGTATGCGTACCAAGTCACATTCCGAAAGGGCTGAACAGGGACGCTGCAAAGCGGGCCCTCCGGAACCATGAGTGGCCAGAAGGTCCCCTGGAGATGTGAGGGTCACCGGCAAGCTAAACATCGACACTCGCCTGCGCATCAAGCGATTCCTCCACAAGCTTGTTGCGTTCTGATTGCACTGAGAGAAAATATATCCCTGAAAGGCTCCAATGTATGCTTGCTGCTGCAAAGGCTAAGTGAATCTCCATCTGTCAGATCCGTCAGACCCCAGCCTCGGATCAAAGAGGAAGCTTCGCACGTCGGCCACACGGCCCTCGCGAGACAGCCCTTCGGCCCTAGGTTTCACCCTGGAAGTCCCCAAAAGTTGCCCCCTAACCCAACCAGGGTGAACTGAGGTTCCCCTGCCTACGTTGAGCTTGACCATTCCTGGCACCACTGGCGCTGGGCAAAGGTTCCCTGTTGCCTCCGGGTCTCTTGCCATGGACCCCGTATTTTGATTTGTGGCAACCTGACGGTTGAGGCCAACCCGACACCCAAGAAAGGAACTTTCAGGTGGCCCAAATGCATGATTGCAACATTGGATGACTTTGCACGTGGATGGGAACTTTGAAATCGGTCAAGACAGCGGACAGGCGCAACAGGGTCCTAAAACTGAAGATGAGCGCTGAGGGAATCGAGTACCTAAACTCAAGTCGATGCTTGACCGCCTCGTTGCCTCTGCCAACGGTAGAGCTAGGGGTACTCCCCTTACGTAAGTACGTCTCATCCGATTGACAGGATGCGGAGACAACGGAGTCCATCACGGCTTCAAAGCAGGTGGCAGTGGGCGTCAGCAAAAGCTCGTTGATGGGAGAGAGGCCATTGTCTCTATAGCTGACTCATGCAAATTCAGTACTCCAGCACTGAGAGCACTCACCAACAAACAACGAACACACAACCGCCATAAACCGTGTCCTTCCTCGAATCTACTCAATTCATTCTGATTTGAGCATGGTTCAAAACAAATTCTTCAACCGTGGTTCCATTAAGCTGCCTTTCGCTGGAATTCCAACTTCAACCAAGACCCAAAGCAAGCAGGTGGGCCAAATAGATGGATGGTCCTTGGCCCTGAAAAGCTGCACTCCGCGCCTTGCTGGGCTTGGCATCTCCGCATCCCGGTAACACGGCATCTGGCATTGCAGGCCGCCTTTGCGGGGTATGGCGCGGGATATCTTCCACCAGGCTGCCACTGAAACATTGCCAGTCAACACTGTCCGAGCTTGATGCTGTAACTTGGTTACTCATATGTTGCTCGTATTTCGCAGTGAGGTCGGTAGGTTGTGCATGAACAAATTGAGAGCACGAGCGTGGACATCTGAGTCGTTTTTGTGAGTGACCACAGCTCGTTGGCTCACGTGACTGTCCAAGAACGTCCTTTCATTCGCAGCATAAAAAGCTGCGGCGCTGCCGTGCGGGTAAAAGCGGCAAAGCACCGGTCTCATTTGGGCCAAAGCTGAGGTCGAAGCGGAGATCTTTCTCTCACTCTGCGAAAGCAACCAAAACAAGTTGATTGCTGAGCATGCACACAAACATATACTGACAAACTCCTCACCCATGCCAAAGACATGTTAAAAGCCATTCGACCTTGCGACCTTGAGTTTGACTTCCACCAAGGACGCTTCTTGTGTGCGAAAAAATGGATTTCCTCCCATCATGAAATATCTAGTCATGTATGTGTCAGCCACAAATGTAGATCTTGATGATCTTGCTTATATAGCATGTCTATTTGCGTACAGGGGTTGACTTCCACATGCTTGCAGCGGAACCAAGGCCGCAGCAGTCTCTGCGGCCTGAGCCGTGCGAACGCTGCCTACTTCACGGGCTGCGACGAATGTCGAAGCGACGAAGGTAATGTCCTCTGGGCCACAGGAAAGCAATGGGTTGCTCATATGGAGGGATCGATCCCGTATCCGAACTGGGATTCAATCCGTATTGGCACCACAACAAGGGAAACCACTACGACCTGGCAAAAGGATTCACGATTGATTCTGAGCAACCCAGAAAGGAGGCCAGGTCCAAGGTACAGGCACACAAAGGATCACAAAGTCAACAATTCCAAGCGACGTGTTGCTCAGTACTGTCCGGTCTATGTCCAAGATTCTGGGGACTATTGCACCTAGGTCTTGAGAACAGGTCCTTTCCAGCAGGGCTCGGTGGACCAACGTGCCAAACGATGTGATATAGCTCCCCTTCTCAAGCAGACCTCCCTTTCATCTGCCTAGCAAAACTCGCTGTTCGTCAGATTTGACTTGTACTCCTTTCGCAACCAGCGCCATGTCTGCATTGACTCGAAAAGTTGTTCACAGGACTGCTGTGAGTTCGAAAGGATGGCAACGAGTTCCACATGCTGTACGCACACCAAGAAGCTCATCTTGCTTTCATGCTGCTTTGATGGTCTGGATTTCATGCTCCTTTGGCTCACCACTGATCTGGCCTAACTACACAATTCAACCTTTATCGTGGGTGGCTTCTGTACCCTTTTCCTGTAATCCGAATTCCTTTTGTGTCCAGAAGCCTTCCCAAGAAGACAGTCGATTCTGAACCGCCTGCAACATGATGTGAATAGCTGAATGGCTGACAGTCTGAACTACGAATCCTGACCAGTTGCGACCACCATGATACTGTAGGAGCAACACGAGGTGCACACTGAGTGGTGGACCAATGAGACGCTGCCGCCAACTAGCGTCAGGAGAAGCCTCGCCAAGGGATTCACTGAGTCAGCTGCTCGTGGGCTACCCGGCCCAACCGGGTGAAGTACATCCAAACAGAATTTAGTTGCACAACTGAGCCAACTACTGGGCAATTTGCAAGAGATACCTGCTAGCCGGCATTTATCCCTGTGATTACAAGTCTGTGCAAGGTGCTGCCCGAGACGTTGAGCTACAGAAGGTCTATCCGCTCACCTCATGATATGGGAAGGGAAACCTCCAATTGGCTGTGCGAGCACCCTCTAGCCGCCTGGCCTATTCTGGTGAAAGGCCACAACATGCTCCAATGGGCAAGGGGACTCGTACAAAGTCATGTATGCTCAAATTATAAGCAAATGATTTAGTGACCGTCTTCGAGATGCTGACATGAAGTTGCTGAGAATCTGCGTCGATTCAATCCAAAGAGATAGATACCTCCCACCAACCCCTGTGGTTTTCCTGAATCCGGCATCAGCGTGAAGCCAAAAACCCAACAGCCCACAAAAACGACATCCGTGGCAATGCGGGAAGGTCACGGTAAGTCGCACCAAGGACCATACTCGTAGATGATGAATCCAAATTCAGCCTAACTGACCCCAGAAGGACCCACAATGAAGGTCTATAGCACCGTTGCGTTCCATCTGTGATCTCTGCCATGGACACTTAGTCTATTTTGCACACCACGAGCCCAACAACCAGTACCCTACAAGCAAAAGGTTGCAACATTTACCTGAAGTGTCCACCATACGCCGCCACCCCTCCCAAACCACCCAAACCCCCAAACCCCTCACCTCTCCCCTCCTCTCCCCCCCCCTCCCCCCCCACCCGCCCGCCCACCCACCCACCCCCCACCCACCCCCCACCCACCCACTTGGTTGGCCGCCTGGGGCCCCGGGCGCCAGCTTGGGCACCGGCAGGCCGGCCAGCCAGGGCGCCGTGGCGGCCACCAAGATCTCCCGGCCCCGCCACTCGTCCACCTGGTCGCTCCAGAAGCGCCGGAACCCGTCCTCACAGCAGAAAACGCAGGGGCCATGAGGTCCGCCAGTAGAGAGGTTGGACTAAGGGTACCTTTTTGTTTTTCCTGTAGTCTATTTTAGTAGGGGAATCCCCCAAAAAAAGGGTACAGGGCACTAGTGGGGGACCTTGCGACCTCCCTGCGCACCACGAAATGAAACCATGGTGAAACCACTGTTTGTTTGGTATTTGCAAATCGAAACATTCCAGGGTTTCTTGGGTGCAGGATTTCGTCCATCCACAGTAAGAAAGGGAGTAAGGGTGAAAACTTGGGGAAAGAAGGGTGGAGTCAAACATGGAAGAAGGGGTCGAAGCGGTGGAAGCTGGAAATAAGGGGGTCCGGGGTCCTGCTGCTACTCTCTTACGACAGCCCTTGTGGTACCCTAAAACCAACATGACCCTAGATACCATGCTCATGTTTTTTTCAGGGACGCGGCAGACTAGTGGATTACATGCGTTGCCCACTGACACCATTAAGTGACCATTCAGCAAAATCCTCACAGACTAGACAACGTGCCCCTGCTCTCAACTGCAAGGAATGAAAGCTTTGGCCTCCGAAATGGCGTTGCGTCTCCTCGGGGGAGCTAAGGCGAGGGTGCAATCTGAGCTGTTTGCAGATGTTGGAAGAACTCAAACTTTAAACGAAGAGCTCCTGCCAACAGTGCATGTTTGCTGGAACAGCTCGAACGGAGAGTCCCTGCATGTTTATCCGCAAAAGAGTTTCCGTGAATCTGAATCTGATGTTTGAAGGCGTGGGTGCAGTTCAAAGGAAGGGTTCTAATGACTACGCTGACTTGTGGAGACGCTTCTTGACCAACTTCATCAACCAGCTTAATTGCAACCTGTTCCTTCACACGCTAAGGCACCAATATGGAAGTAAGTGAAAGTCCACAAAACAACACTGCTGTTGAGCCCATGCTCGCGAAGACTCCGCTCATAGCTGGAAGCTTCACGTCCGCCACAGTACCAATCTGGCCATGGATTTTCGGCGTGGCTTAAGCGGAAAGGGAAGAAGGAAGGCAAGGGTGGAGATTGGCTCTGGGACATATATAAGACCCTCTCTCTGATTTCCACCTCCAAGCAAATCAAATTGAGGCTCCGTTTACTTGGAGCGTGATCCCAAATTGCGCCATTGGCAAGCAAAGCAAGCTCACCTTATTATGGCCAACAGCGGTTGTCTGAAACCAGGGAACCCGAACCCCCCAGCTTGTCCTCTTTCCCCTACGAACAGAAACAAATACTTTGGAAGTCACACCCCCACCCCCCGGGCCACCCCTCTCCCCAGGCACCCCCCAGTCCTGCGCCTCCGCCACCTCCCGCCCCGCCGGCCCCGAAGCCGCCGCCGGATCCCTCGAGAGGCGCTCCACGTGGGTGGCCTCCAGGAAGAGCTCCACCTCCACCCGCTTCCCCGGGAAGGTCGGGCGCCAGCCTCGCCGAAACCGAAACGTCGAAGCGGCTCGGAGATACTTTGACGCAGCCCAATGGAGAGAATGCCTTTGGCCAGCGATGCTAAATTTGAAAGTTGACCCGCAGTGCGTTTTGCTCCTCTCTGTCTCTCTGAATATATACATTTATATATACACAATTGTATGCGTATATATTATATACGATACAATTGTGTATATTGGTGCAAGTGCACATGTATATGCAAGGGTTGACAACGGTTCTTTCTTCACATGCCCGGAAAAAAGGAAGTTCAGCACATCATAATGATTTGTTGCTTAACGCAAACCATCAGGCCGCAATCATGCAAACCGCCACCGCCACCCCCACCACCCCCACCACCCCCACCACCACTACCACCACCACCACCACCACCACCACCACCACAATGAGCTATGTGGTTCACCAGAAACACCCAGGGGATGAGGCTCCTTTGCTCAGCCAATCCTAGGCGCAAATGCTCGACCTTATTTTGGATGTGTTCCAATGGGCGCCCCAAAATGGGGGGGGGGGTTGCAACTTACAACCATTCCACCACTCTTGAAACTAATGTATGCAACACACCCATTTTGCGGATACGCCTTTTCTTGAGTTTCTTTTGAAGGGTTCCCAATTTTGAGGTTGTTTCGAAGGGAAACTCGAAGGGGCCACACCTTTTTTGCAACAGTGTCCTTTCTCGTTTTGGCCACACACCTGTTTCTGCCTGCCCCCCTCTGGGGCTTCTCCACCCTTTAGCCAGCCCACTTTTTCCTTTGCCGGGCCTTTCTCCAACTGTCGTTTCCCTTTCAGCGTCCCCTTCCAAACCGGGCGGTTTCCCATTTTGCGGGCAAACCGAAGCAAGGCCCCGCTTTCGTCCACGGCACGCTGAAAGGCAAGGCCCTCCACCACCACGGAGTCCCCCGGTTGACAGGAGCCCACCAGGTCCCCGAAGACCGCCACCGCACAACTCTGAGGCACAACACCCACCTCCATGGCCTGCATGTCCTCAGCGCCCGGGTGTTGGACCCATGAGTTTTCCCATTTGTTGGTTTTCCCTTTGGCTTCCCTTTCAACTACCCTTTGTGTGACACCCGGCGTGTTTTTGTTGGAGTAATACACCTTTTACATTGGTCTAAATAAACATGAAAAGGAAAACAATCCATTTCAGCCCTAGTTTTACACATACCCACATTGGGCGTTTGGATGCCATGTCTGCAATGCTGTGATGGACGAAATCCTGCACCAGTGGTTTGCGCCGCTATTCATAGGGCTTAACGCATTTCAAATGGTGCAGGATATCGTCCGTCCAGCGTTCCACCGCATACAAGAGTGTCCCATGTTGAAGGGGATGATGCATAAAATCCGCCACCAGGAGTTTGATGGTGAAATTGCACATCTACTTTGGAGGGATGCGAGATCACTTTTGTGGGAAACCATAACTCATCTGGAAAGTGGAATAATCCTTCGTCAACATATACCAAAGTGGGGCAAGTCTGAAATACCAATGCGGGCAGCATTGTTGCTTTCACCTTTCTCTGTTTCCAAAGTGGGACCCATCTCCGTGACTATGTTTGTCTCTCAAAAATAATACCCGCTCTATCACAGAAAGTGGCCTAAACCCAATTGTGCACAACCATGCCGGTGAGCACTGGCTGACACGTTGCTGGGACGTTCAATTGTCTTCTGGCTCCGAAGGCAATGGTCACAGCCCAGGCCTCCACAAAACAAAGCTGATCCAACCCCTTGAAGCTTTGGAGGAGGTCACTCAAGCTCGGGTAAACGAGAGGGACTGCCAGGGGGAAGGACTGTGAAGCTGTTGAACGATCGCGGCCAAGCCGAGCAGCATCTTGCACACGAATTTCCTGGAAGTCAGCCATACAGGCCTCCGGAGCAGTCAGCCGCCATTGCGCCATAACCATTGCCACAAGTTTGATACAACATCTCAGCCTAAGCGACCTGCTTGTGCTGCTCTCTCTGCCAAGGCACCCACATGAGTTGCCGTCAAAGTCTGTTCTCCTTGGTAAGGTGGTTTTCACGTAGATATCGCTCTTTGTCGTGGCCCTATCGTTTTAAATAATTTGTGCGCATGTTGCAGCTCCGCCTCGAACGTGGCAACTTTTCAGCACCAACGTAGTAAACCAGTACGCTCTGGCAGCTCCGGCTTTGCGCTTTTTCAGCACAAGTGTAGAAAAGGAAATGCACTTTGGCCCGGCTGGAAAGTCGCAACTTTTCAGCACAAGTCTAGTCAAGGAAGTGCACTTTGGCAGCTCCGGCCTTATCGCTTTCTGCCAGTTGTGCTGTGACCAACCTGCTTTTCTAAAATCATCTACACTGATTTGACTGTGACTCGCATGCACTTTCGCAGAACTGTTCAACACTCAGCCATCCTTTGACCTCTTAAAAAATCTGACTCAAGTTGACACACAATTGACACATGAAAACAGCCACACGATTGTGCCATTTCGTAGCTCACCCACGAAAGCAGCTTGGGATATTTCCAGAGTTCCATCCCACAACCAACATGAGACGCAAAGTGGTGAGCGCTGTAAACCATGTTTGACCTTGGCCCTCCCATTCTGAGCCGTGTCCGGCCTCATCGGCCGGCTGAGCAGCGAATAGCTTGGAGTGGCACCGCGAGGTCTTTGCGCGCTTCGCCTTGGGGTCCCATTTCTTCTGCCTCAGCGAGCGACGAGGCACCGGCCATTTGCACATGGCATCTTTCTCGAGCGGCGAACTCAGGCGATGTCCATGGGACAAGGGAGTCTTTCCCACGTGCCAGGGTCCAAGGGAATGACCGAACGGGAACCTCGCTTCTAGGAGCGGCTTATCAAGCTCCGAATCATGCAATCAATTCAATCAGCCCACGAGGACCCTTGAACCTCATTCGACATACTGTCCATACCTTGTTTGCCCAGTGAGGTGATCTGTTGCCATGGAGAAAAAATACTACCCTTGGTTGCCGCGGAAAGGAATTGCAGTGCTGAACAAAGGGTGGAACCTACTGGGTTCTCCCCTAGCCAAGGTGCTTCTGGCCCCCAGGGCACTCCTTTGGCACCTCGAACTCGTAGTTACACACCGCCGACGCGCGGCAGCCGAACGTGTGGCCGCACTGCCTCGAGTCGGGTGCTCGAGAAAACGAGCGGCAAGCTGCTTGTTTGATGCAAATGGGCGTGATACGTCAGTCCTGGAGGCGCGCATGTGTCAAAAAAGCAAGCCTTCATTTGGCCTCCCAATAGCCACTGCCCTATGAAGAAGGAATCGGTCGGGACTTTTCATTCAACCGGAGGGGAGGTTCCGTTTTCGCCAAGTTGCTCGCATTTGAAGTTGCGCCACTCCTGGACTACCTGCGCCCCCTTTTTTTTGCACGAAACAAATCCTCCCATAAGGCAACTTGCTTTCCAATATTTTGACCCCGGTGGTCAATTGCAGGACTGTGAAACTCACGTTGTCCACTCTTTCAGCAATCAACCAAAACCAACCCTGCTTGGAATTCCCGATCCCCTGAGAACAAATCCCAGAAAGCCCGGCCGACCCTTCCCCTGCAACCTTCGCTCCCTGCATCATCCAACCTCCGACACCCCCGCGGGAGTCACGTGAATCATTCGCGGGCCTTCACTGGCCCTGCCCTCGTCACGGTGCCCATGACCCGAACCAGGCGCCCAGCATCCGCCACTCGCAGCTGCGACACCGACTGACGTGCGAACTCACGGCCGGGCCTCGGCTCGAGTCCCGATGCACTGACCGCCTGGACCCTGTTGGTATCATCAAAACAAAGTGGATACAATTTCTTTGCGCGGGAACTCGTGGGATACTCAAGATTCTATGTGTGTTGCTTGATGAACTGCTTCCACTGACAAGTGTGTTTTAAATGTTTGAGGTCTGCGACTGAGATCTGTAGGCCCAACAGCAGTTGGTCTCTGCAATCAATGTGAATGGGATTCAAAAGCAACATGATGTCTTCCGACGGAGGATTTGTGCAGTCTGTCTTCCCTGTCATTGTATTGCGCAGCTTATTGACGGCAAGCCTTCATTAGTTATTGGGTCCACAACAGCTTGGGTCTCTTGAGTCCCTGGTGGACGCTGCTTGGTATCAATAATCAGGACTTTGGTTGTACCCCGTGCACGAATCTAATGAGGGGGGACTGGAACTGGGTGAGTCTCATTAATCAGGGTCTAGGGGGGGTCTTCATGATTGAGGTTGAGTCCCAAATACTCTTTTTTAAGAACATGTTTGTTCATCCCATCAGAATAAGCTGAGCCCCATGAGTGTGTCATGTCTGAAATTCATCAGCAAACATATCAAGTGTTACAAATACGCAAAAATGTATTCTTCACCCTCAGAACTCACCCATCTTAGTTAGGGCAACCCTAGATACGGAATTAATCCGGGGGGGGGCCCGCACATGGACCCCCCCCCCCCTCTCTCAATTTCCTATGTCAGACAAAGCTGCTCGGGGAACCACCAGTCAGTTCTGACCCTTTCGCAATTGTTTGTCTTGTTAAGAAACTTGTCCCTGTTCTGCGCATTTGTCCTCTTGCCTGGTCATTTGCGGTGCAAGAAACTATTAGCGGAGTTCCAGTCCCTGTCGAGCACACACTCCTACTTAGCTTGCAATCTTTTTTTTTTGGCTTGAGGGGTCTTGGAGGGGGTGCCCGAAAAACCCATGAGAACAACAATAAGTGACCAAAATCATTTTTGAAGTGCGGGGGGGGGGGACATCTTTGGTTGGGGCGCGCCTAGATTTTGAATCCACTGCAGTCGACCTGCAGCCCAGAAGCACATGGATCAGGCGCACCCGCAGATGGGCTGCAGCTTCCCCCATGAGCGCGGCCGCCTCTTGCTGCGCAGTTTCACGCAGGGCTCCGCTGATGGTCGGCCAGCCCTGCAACAGCAAGAGGTAGGCCGAGGGCACCTCGTCGAAGAGGTCCATCGCATCAACAATGATCTCCCTCCTCTTGGCCTTCTCATCGAGTTCAAAGTGCTCCTTAATATAGGTTGACTCCACACCCACCGAGCCAAACGCTTCTGGTCGCAACCCTGGCTCGGCTCAATGCAGCTAGGGTGTGTCTCAAGGGCAAGCCCTCCACTGCTGTAATTTGCGCTTGATTGAAGCGTTTGGGGGAAAAAATGGCAAACGGCTTCTGCGTTCGGAGCTTTCGGCTTCGGTGCGCTGCTTCGATTCGGCTTCGGCCTCGGCTTCAATTCGAGGCGCAGTGAGCTGCGGGAGGCGCTCCTTGAAGAAGCGCAGCAGATCCTGCGACACGTCGGCCAGCGGTACCAAACTCGCCGTCGAATCCATGGCGCGGCGAAACCATTCGTGGCTAAATCCGGGCCCGCTGAGGGGTACGGTGCGCAAATTGATCCAAAGTGTTCCTGGCAAAATACTTGGCCTCAGGGGGAAACAAAAAGGACATTGATTGAGCACGTTGAGCCAACAACTTACACATGACATCAAACGAGACAAATTACACTTGGAACCACTGCCGCCAAGCGTTATTGTTGGTGTTTGCCCTCCGAGGGAGTTCGGTGGAGAAGCTGGCCTTCTGGGTCATATGGATCCTACAGGGAACCCGGGAACTAACAAAGTGGCAACTGCCTAAGCTATGCGTCGATCTTCCACCACAGGCCAAAAACTTAAACGGCTGCAGAACTCATCGACTCGCACGGGCGCGCACGCTTGCCCTTGCGCCATAGCAAGGATGATCACCATGAAACATGAGTAAAATCAAAGACAACGACCAGGTTGCCCTGCACCTCTTGGCACATCACATCACCAGCACATCCAAGCTTATGAAGGACCTCTGTTACAGGGGTGATCCAAACCTCTGCCCCCTTGTCCATCACTTCGTGCTAAGGCTCGCCGGAAATGAGTACGAATCTTTGGCGCAGTTCACCCAATTCCACAACCGTTCTCGGACATAACTTTCGAACGCGCGCGCGCGAAATCATGTGCACGCATACCAAGCCGACGTCGAGGGAGGCCGTGCCAATGGCGCACTTCAAGGGCATGCCGTTGCTCTTCCCGTAGGCCTGCAGCTGGGTCCTGAGACTCGATATCCCCGAACCGGGCAAGGGAGGTAGCCGCAGCTTGTGAAGCAAGCGATGGGAATTGAACCATACAGCCAGCTGCTGTTGATGACTGCCATAAGTGTTTTTATGTGTTGCAGGACAAACTTCAAGGCGTGGTGGTCCGTGGCTGCGGTTCCATTTAATGAAATTCGGCAACTGCTTGAACAGCTGCCCCATTCGGCATGAACTGCCCCGCTAAATTTGGTCAGTTACACTGCTTTGTCGACGTGTCTCTTGCCGAAAGTTGCGTGATGTTGCAGGCTTGTTTTGCAGCACAGCTGCCTTTTGACATGCCAAAGGAAAGCTGCACCGCACATCAGAAGAGCACAACGTCTCTCAGTCAAACAAGCACCGGCTTTCACATCGAACTAGAGCCTCCCATCCACAAACGCTCTGCTCACCGGAGGTTTGTGTATAGGCACAAATTCTGCTAGTTTCCCCAAAAAAGCGTTCGTCCATTGACACAACACCATGCCGAGTCGATGTGAATTGGACCCTGGTGCAAATTGTAAACGCGATAAGGAACAATCCTTCATGGGAAAAAACAACATGAGAGGCTTTGGCCTGCAACTCTGTGTGTCTTTGTTCTAATTGTTTCTGGATGTGGTTGCTCTGTGTGGGCAGGCCATGTTCCCTGCGTGCCAAAGTGACAAGAGATCAAGGCAACTTCGTCGCAAACGAGTCGATCGCAGCGACTTTGTTTCTCCCACTGCCTCTTGCGGCCCCAGGCTGTGCGACACTACATGTCCCAACTTGCTCCTGGCAAATGGCTTTGCTAGGCCACGGATGTTGCGACCGAGGTAAGCCATGTTTGGAAAACGGTTTCCATCTGTCTTCTGTAGGCAACTGTTGAGATAGTACTTTCTGGGCTTAAAACCTTTACCTTCCGTATGTAAGAGCGCCGTGCAAAGCTAGAAGCTGATATGATGCGAGTTGAAACATCAACAAGTGCCTCACCAGGAACACCCGCTTGCTGTTGCAAGTGACTTAATTTAGGGATCTGCTCTGATACACTGCGGCACATGGGTATTGGTAGATTCGCTTGCACATGAGTGGATTTCTGCATAGACACAAACAAAGGACGAGTGAACGGGGAAAACCATGTATCAGATGATTGGATGACTGGATGATTGGCTACTTGGATCTTTGAATGGACGGACGGATGGATGGATGGACGGACGCGGCTGCATGGATAAACAGACTGGGTAACGGGTTGATGGACGGATTGACCGGCAAATGGTGAGCACAAGCATCGTTCAAGTCAACACACACGTGTCAAGTTGAAATCCGGAAGCGTACGATTTGCTAAAATCCACGGCAACTCCTGGGTCAACTCGGCAGGCAGGCCAAAACTTGTTGCCTCCTTGCCATTGTATCATATAATAATAATATTATATATATATATACATACGTGTACAACATTTGAGTGCGAGCCCCTGGGGAAATAGGATTTCCCTGATTTTGTCCCAAATTTGAGCTGTTCCGCAAGTCCTCCCCAAGCTCAAATACAAGGCTTGCTTCTGCCAACATACAGCTATGGCATAAGTGCCAAATCCCACAATGGACAAAAGCAGTCTGGGGGCACTTCTAGTGTTCGGTTGCCACACACTGGATGTACAAGTACATGCTGGATACCCAGGCTGGGTTGCACCGTGCCATTGATGCAACTCCACCTGTAACATGCCCATTCAACATGGATGCACGAGAAAGCTACGCAATTGACTGTCCCAGACTGTCCCGGTCACATCCCCGATACATCCGTCAAGGTTCCAGAGCTGTTGGCCTGAGAGGCGATTTCCCGAATTGGCCGAGGCTTCTTGGAAGCGCGGCAACACAAAAACTTGAACCGGTCTCGGGTCGAAATCGAAAGCGCACGCCACCTAGTGAAGATCGAAGGTCCCTTTGGGCGCAGCGCTGCTCTCAGATGTTGGCCGGAGCTCATTCCAACATCTCCGGCACAAAGGCTCCGAAACTCACAAAGGTCGGCATGTCTTGTATGTAAGTGGAAGGTTCATGCCCCACTCGCTCTGAGCGGCATGCATGCTTCCAAAAGATCCTGCATTAGGCTAAACATCACCAAGGCTTTGTTCAGGAATCTGGTACGACCAATGGCAAAGCGTCCCTCGTCTCAGCCTGCAGGAAAAGCGGCGAATACCAGTCATTCGACGCCTTGAAAAGTCGACTGACACGACCGCCGCATCATTTGCGCCTTCGGCCATCCTTGCGGAATTTTCCAAGCCCACGGCGCATAGGGCATAGGGCAGTTGCCGGATCCACAGCGCAGGCTTGTAGCTGCAAATGTACACCCTGCCATCTTGAACACTGGGCCGAAATCATCCCTTCAATCTGTCAATGCGATCTTCCATGAGATGGTGGAAACAAAAGGAGTTGAAAGTCGTGGCCAACGCCTGTGGCCAAAGCACATAGGTTCAGCTCTCAACAGCAAACAAGGCATGAGCAATATTGCGTGTTCTTTGAGCTTCCGGTATCTGGGTGCTTTGAGCTTCCGGTATCTGGGTGCCTGAATCAATATGCCACTTACACCGCATCGCAGCAGGGTCACACTGTGGGGGGACAAATCCTGCACCGCTTGCAACCATGGAAAGCCATTATCTGTTTGGTATTTACAGGGGAATCATCATTCCACGGTTTCTTAGGTGGTGCAGTATTTCGTCTATCCACAGTATGGTGTCAGAGGTGCAGAATGGCGCTACCAGTAGCACCTGGCTGGTGCAACAATACTTTCTAAACAAGGCCGTGTGCTCCATGCTGTATACATTTGATTGGTCAGATTGACATCTATTCCGCGATGTACATTTGCTTGTTCAGAATCCAGCAAAGCAAGTTTTGCAGCTGAGTTGGCAGGGCAAGAAGTGGTGGGTCTAAAATTACAAGCCATGCGCAGAACGCCGAATCGTTGGACAACGTGCGGACTTCTGGCTTGGCCGAGAAGATCCATAAGTCTCGCCACTGGTTCCCTCTCAAGGCAGCAAGCAAGAAGCACATGTCGTCAAACAAATCTCAAACCTGCTGCAAAGATTCGACTGATTGACAAGTGGTCCTCAGGAACCCATTCACCTCGCTGCTTAGTCAGTCTGATGGCTTGATGAGAGCTAGCTGGAAAATATGCTTTCTGATCTCCAGCTGCATCTGGCCCAGTGAGAGTCACAAAACCAGCAGGGTACTGCAGCAGCAGTCACAGGACGAAAGGTGCTGATTTCTTTTGCTGCACCAAACCGGTGTGGGCTTTGCAACCCGTCTTTCGCCTTTTCGCCTTTGAGGGGGAACGAGCTCCGGGAGCGAAAAAAGCATGTCCGAAAATTCGAGTGTCAGAACATGGACAAGGCTTTGCCAAAAGCAGGGCGCTCATCCAGCCAAGGGTGCTCCAAGGCCTCTTCGGCGCTTGGCCGCTCCTCCGGTTCCAGGCACATCAGCTGCTTGCCTGGGATGTGCCCCAGGGGTGCAGGCTCTTGCCAGGCTTTTGCAGCATTGCCTTTGCCAGTGAACAAACTTCGCAGAAAACGAGAAAAGCACTTAGTTCAGTCTAACCGAGCTCAACTTGAGCAGGTGACTTGGAAATTGCCTACGCAGGATGCCAGTGGTGACTCTCAAATATGATAGAAGCATACGCCTGCAGGTGTGTGTGTGTGTGTGCAAGGCTGCCTAGGCCATACGGGACCGCTCTCGGGAGCGAAAAGCATTTCGAGCCTTTGCCGGTGCGAAAAAAGGAAGAGCTCCCGAAAGGCGGCGAACCATCGCGCAGCAAGCCGAACCGGGAACGACGGCATGAAGAAACAACTCCGGGAGTACCTCATGCGTCTTGGTTCAGTGCTTGCTGGATGAATCCTTCCCTTGCCCCAAGAAAAAGCACTGGGAAAGGGAGCATTTTGAGCCTCGAAGTCTTCTTCCTCTTTTTCCTTTGACGGTCAGGCCGCCGAACCGATGCCAATTTCCCGGCGAAGCGGCAAAAGTCCAGGCCCAAGGTGTTGTCCTTGAAGTCCTTCTCCCAGTTCAAATTCGCCTCCGAACCAAACTGCCGGAAAGGTCCGCGGGGACTAGCCGCTCGAAGAGCAACCCGACACAAAGTAACCCCGCGAAAACGTGTGTGTCTGTCCGTTCTCTCTTCGAACCTCCAGTTCAAAAAGATTCAATGGTTGTGTGTATCTGTTAGGCTGGGGAGCAATGGGTTCCAACATGCTTCCAGCATTCTGGGTTGAAGCAAGATGCTGCCCACATTGC